GGTACTCCACGTCCAATCAGAAGTCAGAAGATGTTCCGACGTTCCCGTCCAGGCCCGGTTTACCGGTCTGTCTGGATCTCGGTCTGAACGAACGACTCACGGGGAACACGAATGAAAATCCTGCTCTAAGGTCAACTGGTGATGAACGTAGGTGGCGTAGATGGCAGAAGCTCAGGGCCTTTAAGACTTTTTCATTCAGCGACGACAAGAATGATGAAAAATAACCTGATAAATGTGATAAACTACCAGCACGCATCGCCTTTCATTCAGATTAGCAACAATTATCTGAAATTATAGAACTAAAAACAAAATAAACAGAATCATAAAAGAGTGAATAGTTCCGGGACGTGTGTCATCTACTCCATCCACCCACCCATCATCCGTCCACCCATCTATCCATCCATCATCCATCCATCATCCGTCCACCCACCCATCATCCGTCCACCCATCTATCCATCCATCATCCATCCATCATCCATCCACCCACCCATCATCCGTCCACCCATCTATCCATCCATCATCCATCCATCATCCGTCCACCCATCCATCATCCATCCACCCACCCATCATCCGTCCACCCACCCATCATCCATCCACCCACCCATCATCCGTCCACCCACCCATCATCCATCCACCCACCCATCATCCATCCACCCACCCATCATCCATCCACCCACCCATCATCCATCCACCCACCCATCATCCATCCACCCATCCATCATCCATCCATCATCCGTCCACCCACCCACCCATCATCCATCCACCCACCCATCATCCGTCCACCCACCCACCCATCATCCATCCACCCACCCATCATCCATCCACCCATCCATCCATCATCCATCCACCCACCCATCCATCATCCATCCACCCACCCACCCATCATCCATCCACCCATCCATCATCCATCCATCATCCGTCCACCCACCCATCCATCATCCATCCACCCACCCATCCATCATCCGTCCACCCATCTATCCATCCATCATCCATCCATCATCCGTCCACCCATCCATCATCCATCCACCCACCCATCATCCGTCCACCCACCCATCATCCGTCCACCCACCCATCATCCATCCACCCACCCATCATCCATCCACCCACCCATCATCCATCCACCCACCCATCATCCATCCACCCACCCATCATCCATCCATCATCCGTCCACCCACCCATCATCCGTCCACCCACCCATCATCCGTCCACCCACCCATCATCCATCCACCCACCCATCATCCATCCACCCACCCATCATCCATCCATCCATCCACCCATCCATCCACCCACCCATCCATCCATCATCCGTCCACCCACCCATCATCCATCATCCATCCATCCACCCATCCATCCATCATCCGTCCACCCATCCACCCGTCCACCCATCCATCCACCCACCCATCATCCATCCATCATCCGTCCACCCACCCATCATCCATCCACCCACCCATCATCCATCCATCCATCATCCATCCACCCACCCATCCATCCATCATCCGTCCACCCACCCATCATCCATCATCCATCCATCCACCCATCCATCCATCATCCGTCCACCCATCCACCCGTCCACCCATCCATCCATCCATCATCCATCCATCCACCCATCCATCCATCATCCGTCCACCCATCCACCCGTCCATCCACCCGTCCACCCATCCGTCCACCCATCCGTCCATCCATCATCCGTCCACCCATCCATCATCCGTCCACCCATCATCCATCCACCCACCCATCCATCATCCGTCCACCCATCCACCTGTCCACCCATCCATCCACCCACCCATCCATCCATCATCCATCCATCCACCCATCCATCATCCGTCCACCCATCCACCCGTCCACCCATCCATCCATCATCCGTCCACCCATCCATCCACCCACCCATCCATCATCCGTCCACCCATCCATCCACCCATCCATCCATCCATCCATCCATCCATCCATCATCCGTCCACCCATCATCCACCCACCCACCCATCCATCATCCGTCCACCCATCCACCCATCCATCCGTTCACCCATCCATCCATCATCCATCCACCCATCCATCCATCATCCATCCATCCACCCTCTAAACGACGAATGAGCCACACGTGTGCTGTAGATCCTTTCAGGGTCTCCAGAGCCTTTAGAATCAGGGTTAACTTTATTTTACTAAACTACTGTTATGCTGTTTAGCTTGAACACGCGTTTCTGTTTTACTCCCTTAAAAGACAAACATAATATTTATTATTTGTACCATTATCGGATGGACTAACTTCCAGTAAGGCTGTAGGTTTAATCTGGATGAGAAAGGCTCGGCGCTGCTGAGAAACACATTTAAAGTCGAGGCTGGACTTTTTCATGTGAAACGACTGAAAAACGACGGATTATTAAAGTTTTGTTATAAAATACAAAAGATGAACCGAACCCACCCGACCTAAAGCTGGAGGCAGCCATCTTATATTTGTGTCTCAGTGATTTTATTTATTTTCCCCTTTGAAATAAAACAGATCTTTGCTGTTTTAGTTCATCTTTTGTGTCTAAGAACAGAAATTAAATAGCCACTCGTGTTTATTAGCAGTGAGATAATCCAGTTACTGAAACACGCACGCACCAACACAACTAGCTGTTCTTCTGTCACCCATTTCTGCCCTTTTCCTGTCTAATTCCCTCTGTTGGGTCCAACTAGCCCACTTAACGATGGCTTCACGTGTGACTAGCAGACCCCGACCCATACCTCACCTCCAGAGGCACATAGCAGAACCCACCTCTTTGTGTACTTTGGTTCGGTTTTTGATCTCGGCCACGATCATTCCTACGATGCTCCCTCTGAAGGTGGCAGCGAGGGAGAAGAACTTCTTGTTGGAAGTGATATCTTGGTACCATGAGTCTGGGTACCTGGCGGCAGGGGTCAGCATGGTGAATAATCACTGTAACACAACCTATATACCCAAATCACACCAGTATCGGCCCTGGTAACCAGAACCGGTGCATCTCTAACGTTAACTAAACACTGAAGACAAACCTGTTGAGTGCACACAATTGATTTTTAAAGTGAAATGAACACTGATGGTTTCAACTGTGCCCAGTGGTCGTACACAAACAAAACAAAGCTCTTACTCGATTGGGAACCAATCCCCACAGAGCAGCTTGACACTCCCTATGTCATTGTGGCAGAGGAAACGGAGCTGGATTTCACTGAGAGCTGTGGGAGGCACCACGTCACTCATTCACACCTGTACAAACCAACACAAGTAGCTAGTTAGTGGTCAGGTTCAGGTCGGGTCACACCTGGGACAGGTGTTAAACAACAGGGCAACTCAAACCAAATGATTACAAAATAAAAGCTCAAACCTGCCAAAACAATGTGCTAAACTTTATGTCCAGGTGTTCGCCCAGAAAAGGTCTCTTTGTGTTTAGACCTGATTAATTACAAAGCCACAGCTCAGACCGCAGCAGTAACTTTACCAGGATGAACTGTTTTCATAATCACAGCACCAGGAATACTCCTCCTCGATTTCTTCCCATTTAAATCACGTTTCTTTAAACTAACTCGGTAGAATCAGTTCCTTCGATCAGTCCCAGCCAGTGGGAGCAAATTACACATCCTGACCATTTAGAGGTCTAGCCAATCAGAACAAGTCAACTCAAGTAGAAATGCATCAACTACACCATTATTCTGACTTTACCAGTCACCTCCCTGGAAACTTTGACACAATCCTCTTTAGAACGGATTCATTTCCAGTTTTAGTGCACAAATCTGATAAGGTTTCCCTGTCAGGAAACTATGTAGTTACAGTCCTGCCATACAAGTCAGACGCAAAAACAAAACAAGCCTGAAGGAGTTCTGCCATGTTGTGGAGTTGCTAACGGTTAGCTTCTGCTCTCTCCTGGGCGCTAAAGCAACAACAGGCTTCCAACTAGTACTGATACTTACAACTAGTCCTGATACTTACAACTGGTACTTATACTTACAACTGGTACAGTCAAGTCACATTTATTTATAGAGCACTTTAAATACAACGCTGTCGCCCAAAGTGCTGAACATATAAAACCTAAGTGAAGTTACAGCTACTTTCCTACAACTAGTACTGATACTTACAACTAGTACTGATACTTACAACTGGTACTGATACTTACAACTAGTACTGCTCTGTTACAATTCGACCACAAAGCAAAAATAAGAGCTTATCCAATTATTTGATTAATTGATAAGATTACTGCAGCAGATAAATTGATCATTAAAGTGACTGATAGCTGCAGCCCTAACCAGAACACAACTCCTCAGCTATCCTCATCAAGATCTTGCTGAAGCACCCGGTGAAAAGCTCTCCTTTTCTAGACACTTCTATACCTCCACAGGTCTGTCACCATCAGGACCACCTGCCTTTACCCTCTTCATCCTCACTAACAGTCACCTCTTCTAATCTCATGATCCTCTTCATCAGCTAATGCAAGAAATAAGCAGCTGTAGATGTTTTTCAGACTAGACACCTGCATCATGAACATAAGAAAATACGTGTGTGATTCACCCTGAAAAACCCTGGTTTAAGCATACAACCGAGTAAAGGCTTTGAAGACGGGACCAGATGGAGGAAGACGATGCTCTCTAATCTATCTAGAACCACATATAAAAGATAAAGTTAATACTTTTGTAACTGAAAGGCATCGGAAAAGATGGCCGTGAGCTCCAACACACAAAGTGATGTCAGCGTTTTAAGCAGTTGTAACGCAAGCGTGCTATAAACCACACAACACAAGAACAAACCCTGTAACTGGCTTTAGAGAGCAGGAAATGGCTCAGTCCTGGGAGCGAACCGTATGCAAACATCGTAAAATGGTTTGAATGTGCTACTGAGCCCGGAACTGTGGCGATAAAGGCTTGCTACATTCGATTTGGTAATAAAACATAGAATTAAATAATAAACTAGCATACACGTAAGACTAGAAATGCAAGTATTAATCTGCTACATTAATTCACATGTATTAAGAACTTACCTGCTAATTAGCACCTTGGCTAACGTTAGCTAACGGGCTAACGCTCGGCTGCTAGGCGCTCGCGCTGGAGAAAAGTCGGGCAGAACTTATCAGGCTACCCTGTCAGACCTCCGGATTTAGCATTATACCGCATCGGTTTGTCCCCGAATCTAAAAGCCGTTTGATTAATGTCTAAGACCAAGCAGCCCGCTACTATGCTTCTCTCCTCAGAATACAGATTAATGTTTACTTCCGGTTTTGGCCAATCACGTAACCGAGCTCTTCTTCTAGGATTCCTCCAACGTCTGGAAAACAAACATGGCGACGCATTACTGCCACACATTGGACTGATGTTCAGCTGTGGTTCTCAACTCTTCCACTCAAATCACACCGTCCTGTGTCCTTTTCTCGATGCACGGAACACATACGCTATTCATTCCCTACACACTACACGTTTCTGTTTCCTCACAAAAGTTTCAATGAATAACAGGAGAGTGTAGGGAGTGCAGCAGCGCACCCTAGTGGACAAAATGTGTACCCATTTCAAACTGGCAAAATAAAAACCAAACAAATAAACCTTTTGTTTAGTAAAAGCATACATCTCCATAATATTTTCACATTAATGTGTGAATCGTGCTTAACAGTAAACTAAAGTTGGATTTTGTGTAATTTTCATTTACAATTATAAGTGCACTAATAAAGGAATCATGGGAAAAAACAGATGTAGCCACATGTTTAGCCACATTTTCTACTTTCATCAATAAAACAATAAAAAGGGGAGTTTCTGATTTTTATTATCACATTTTCACCAATCTGAATTACGAAATTACATTGTGTTTAAACGTTAAATTATAAATCACAATAGTTTTTAAAACATTCATACTTCAATGTACATATGAATATATGAATATTTATGCTGAATATATAATTATATTTTATATTTGTGTGCATCTGTTTAAACATAGTTCCTCTGAGCGCTTCCTGCACTGATGAAATATCCATGATTGAACAGATTCACTGTCTTACCTGGAGGACTCATCAGAATGAATCAGAATCAGAATGAATTTTATTGCCAGCGCTCCTTTCAGAGCGTAGGAACTTGACTCCATAGTACAACCTGACCAAGGTTACACACACACACACATGTAGACAGGACAGATACAGGCAGACCATGGGAGCAGCCATTGACGGCGCTCCTTTGTAGATGAGTAAGGGAATACATGAGGAAAGTTCAGGGAGGGAGAAAAAAAAGGCATTAACAGGGTTACACCAGCAGGGTGTAGCACTCCAATGCAAAAAAACACCCGACATGTAAGCAACAACGTCACAGTTCACAACATGAGACCCGGCAGGTAGGGGGGAGGGGCTGGGATCCTGGTTCCCAGCCAAAGTTAAAAAACATAAATAAATAAAAATAAATATCCATTCATCCATCCATCGCAAGGGAAGCAGCCTAAGCAAAGATGCCTAGAATTCCCTCTCCAACCACTGGGTCTTCCTTAACGTCTCCTCCCGGTTGGACATGCCTGGAAAAGGGAAAGGGAGGTGTCCAGGAGGCATCCAAGACCTGGATGGTGGGAGCTTTCTTCAGCTGAATGAAGATAAGGCTGAGATCCTCATCTGTGCTCCAGACAAGCTGGTTCCCAAAGTCAGAGACTCTCTTGGTCAGCTTGCTTCTCACACCAAACCTTCTGTCAGGAATCTTGGCGTGACCTTTGACCCAGCTCTCACCCTGGATTCTCATGTCAGTTCTCTTGTTGGCTCTTCCTTCTTCCATCTCAGGAACGTTGCTAAGCTGAGTCCCATTCTGTCCCGCTCTGAACTTGAGACAGTTCTCCACACCTTCATCTCCTCACGCTTAGACTACTGTAACTCTCTTTTCACGTGTCTGAGCAGAACCTCCCTGAACCGTCTACAGGTTTTTAGTTTTTATTTGACTATTTTTCTGTCCTGCCTGTTTATTATCTTCCTGCATCTCCTCTCAGTCCTAAAGAGAAACTACCTGGGTTCATATATATTCACCTCATGAGTTACCTTTGAACTGCAGTTCTAAAAGATCTACCGACCGCTAAAACAGCGTTGTGCCGCTGCTCGCCGGCCGACTACAACGGGACCGTTTTTGCTGCGGAGTTCATGCCGGAGCAGAGCGGAGTGGAGATAGTGGAATCTTGGGGGTGCGTCACCGAAGAACAAAACAGGTGATGCGCCTCGCTCCGCAGCAGCGAAACGCATCAGGCACAAATAACAGACAGAAAACATGAAAGGAAATGAGCCGACATGAACGATCGCGTGTTTAATTTGTTTTTGAGGTGGTGACACCTGATTTGGCGGTGCTCAGGACGCAATGTCTGGAGCGCGTCAACGATCAGAGCTTTGCATGTGCAAGCTGGTTAAGGTTAGGATGGGGGTGAGGGGAAGGTTAAATTGCAAGAGGGAAAAGGTCACAGTTTGGTTAAATGTCCGTTTTACCGCCGGTGTCAGTACCGCACAGCGCGTCGCCTCCGCCTCGATCCAGACGGGCAGGGGCTCATCACCTGCTGTCTTTTCCGAGGACTGCATCTTGTCAGTCATTATCACGTGACAGCGACTAGTTGATAACAGGCATAAAAAGTCACTACAGAGCCGTGAAGTCGACTAGTCGACTAGTTCGTACAACCCCTAGGACTCAGTGGTCTCCTTTAAAAAGCAGCTGAAGACTCACTTGTTCAAGCTGGCTTTTGTATGACCTTCTTCACCTCTCTCTTTATTCTGCTCTCCCCACCTATTCCACCTTCCTCAGGATCCACTGGTTTCCCTCTTTCCTGTTCACTCTCTCTCTTTCTTTACATTTTTTATCACAATTGTCTCTTTTTGCTCATTTTAAATATATTTTTAAACATTTTCTAAATGCTTTTTTATATTTTTACATTTTTTGTTTTTGTGAAGCGCCTCGTGATTTTTATCTTGAGAGGCGCTGTAGAAATTATACTTTCTTCTTCTTCTTCACCTCAACAGGGCAGCTGTGGTTACATCGTACCCCATCCCCACCGGCGTGTGAATGACTGATTGTATTGTGAAGCGCTTTGGGGGGTTGCAGAACCCTAAGAAGGTGCTACACAAGTTCAGGCCATTTACCATTTAACTGGCTCCCCTCGATGTGGAGGAGCAGCGGATCTACTCCAAGCCCCTTCTGGATGACAGAGCTTCTCACCCTATCTCTAAGGGAGAGCCCAGACACTCTGCTGAGAAAACAAATTTCAGCCGCTTGTATCCGTGATCTCGTTCTTTTGGTCACTACCCACAGCTCGTGACCATAGGTGAGGGTAGGAATGTAGATCGAGAGTAGTAAAGAAAATTTGGCTGTGAGTTTAGCCAGTTTCAAATCCTTCTTCCAGAATGAAAGATAGCGCATTAAACGTAGAGAAAACCACTAGAAATTTGGCCATGTGCTAAGTAGCATTGATACTGGGGGAGAAGAGATTCTGCTGCGACGTCCTACATGAGACGTCTGATTTTGGTTATTTTAAAGCTGTTATAGCAAATCTGCAAACAAGCTAGGCTTTGAACGCAAACACATTTATGGAACACTCGCCCCTCCCCTCGAGTATCTTCCCTCAGACACTTCTGCCAGAAGCAAGAACCCCCGATGCCGGACAAAGCAAGAAAATACAAAGTGCTGTCATTTTGGGGCAGCAGTAGCTCAGGTGGTAGAGCGGGTTGCCTCATGATCGGAGGGTCATGGGTTCGATTCCAGCTCCCGCCAGGGGTATCCTGCTGATGTGTCCTTGGGCAAGACACTTCACCCAACTTGCCTGTGTTAGTGGTGGTCAGAGGGGCCGACGGCGCCAAATGGCAGCCTCGCCCCTGTCAGACCTCCCCAGGGCGGCTGTGGCTACAAGTAGCTTACCATCACTAGCAGTGTGAGTGTGTGAAAGCGTCTTTGGGTGTCTAGAAAAGCGCTATATAAGTTCTATGCATTATTATTATTATTTTTCTAGGTCCAAACATCTTTTGTTGTCCGTGACTTCAGATAGCGTTTTTCTTTTTGGGACTCTGGTAGATTGTCCTAAAGCTGAAGTGGTAGCAGCCGGCTGTTTCTCCTCCTCTGGTGTTTTTGAGCGGAGAACCTCACACCGGTGGTGTTCTGGTGCTGAACACGAGAGTGTGTGATGAGTGGACGACCCAGGCAAGCGCTGCGGATCGGCGAACCGGATGGTCCAATGGTTGGTTTTGGACCGAAACGTGTTGTCGGTTGAGGTTTTTAGACAAATACGAGGGAACCACTTCATCCAGTTTGTTAAAACTCCCAATATTTGTAAGCTAATTTGTTTTCCAAACTTGTTATTGTAGCTGGAATCACAAATATTAACAAGCTGACAAATCTCAAAGTACACGACACACAAAACACACATAATTACTTCTCATTTAAACTGAAGTATGTTTGCGATTCAGGGCGTAAGGCAAAGCGATTAGAAAATAGCTTTTGTGGCATTCATTTATTCTTTGTTCCGGAACAATACTTGACATTTATTTATTTTTGTTTTTATTTATTTTTTCTCTGGTCAGCGATGGGGTTTCATGCTGCACGCTGTGCCAGAGACAGCAGCTAGCTGAGCTACGCTCCGTGGAGCCAGGGTGAAATCTGTGGTTTGCTTATAGACAGGGAACAAATAAAACACACACACACACACACACACACACACACACACACACGCACGCACGCACGCACGCACACACATTTATACACACACACACACACACACACACACACACACACACACACACACACACACACACACACACACACACACACACACACACACACACACACGCACACACACACACACAACAACAACAACAATACATTCCAGGTATTTGCAGGACCAGAACAGTCCCCTGCACCACTGTGGGTCAGAAGGTTATTAGAGACTCCGTTAAGACTATTCCCGTCTAGACGAGCAGCAGATCGAGTCTTAATTTTTATGGCAGAGTATCGTAACAACTCCGGGCTCCGAGCTCACATCTCATTAGTGAGTTCTGCATGTTCTGACCTTGCCTGTGTTTAGGAACCACCACCATTAGCACGCACTGGTCGACCTCCAAGATGACTCCCGGCTCCTTCATGTGGCTCAGTTCCTCTTTACCTTAGAAAGTGGTCTTGGTGCTGCAGCAGTATGCCCACCTGAACAAGATAAATGTCCTCTCGGCATGCCTTTTACCTTCAGACGAGTTCCTCCTGGTCCCTGTGGGGCTCCACTGAGTCTAACTGTTTCAGTAACCTAAAGAGAAAAACCTGGGAAAGTTCTTTCACAGCTCCTCCCACCTCTCCTCCCCATCACCTGCAGGTAAATAAAAAACCTCCCAAAAGAAACTCAAGTCAGAATGTAGAAGACCCGAGGACCGATACCATCGAGGATTTGGGTTTAAAGCGTATTTTCTCCTAACAACTGGAACAGGTGCGCCTCTATTTCTCTTCTTCACCACAAAACTCTTGTTTCATGTCTGCAGACTAACAGCTCGGGGAAAAATCCATTTATTTGCCAAAATATTAGGTTTACTGCTAAATGTGACTGATAATATTCTGTTTTGTAAGTTGTTTCAAATGCAAACCCGTGTCTTCGGCTCGGTGTGACGGACGCTGTTAGTGATGTGTTAGACTTTGGTTCAGGACTGTGACCAGCTCCTGTGCAGCCAAGGTAACAAGATAAAACATTATCCCTGTCCTACAAACATTAATCAGCAGCAGTTGAGATAAAATGATTCTGGTCAGCCGGCAGGTGTTGCATGAGTCTGTCACTCCCACACCAAGGGGGCGATGGACTGCAGCTGCACGGATCTCAGTGGAGTTCTGTATACAGAGACACCTTCTGGGCCGCTGTGGCTCAGGAGGAAGAGCAGTCCACTGTGAGATGTTTGTCTGAACTCCAGTTTGGCCCCAGAGCCGAGGATCGTTTTGTGTGACAGGTCAACGTGACTTGTGACGTAAAACCTCCACATCAAGCAAGTTGTCCTATACACGTGAATATATAGCCTGGCTACGACCCATAGACAGAGCTCAGTCGTGGGCGGGATCTACGTTGTCTTTCAAGCTGCCTCGGCATGCTCCCTATTGGACAACGAACAACGTGACATACTCACGTCTGCGGATGTCAGTCAACGGGCAGTTCTGCATTCTCTGTTGAAGAAGACCCAAATATGTCCTTTTGTGTCTGTAATCAAACCTTCACTTAAGAAGCCTTCTCTGGATCCAGATGACCCAATGAATTATAGACCAATATCTAACCTTCCATTTTTATCCAAAGTCCTGGAGAAAATAGTGGTCATCCAAGTATGTGAGCATTTAAACACTAATGCTCTGTTTGAGTTATTTCAGTCTGGTTTTAGAGAGTATCACAGCACTGAAACTGCATTAGTGAGAGTTACAAATGATATTCTCATGGCCTCAGATAAGAATCTTGTGTCTGTTCTAGTCTTGTTAGATCTCAGTGCTGCCTTTGACACAGTTGATCACAATGTTCTTTTAGAAGGACTTGAACATGTTGTAGGGATCAAAGGAACAGCGTTAGGCTGGTTTAAATCCTACCTGTCTGACAGATTTCATTTTGTAAATGTACATGACAAATCTTCTTCATACTCCAGGGTTACTTGTGGAGTACCACAGGGTTCAGTGCTTGGACCAATTCTTTTTACTATATATATGCTCCCAATTGGTAAAATCATTAGACAGCATGGGATAAACTTCCACTGTTATGCTGACGATACTCAGTTATATTTATCCTTTATCCCTGATGAACCTAATCGGTTGGGTAGATTACAGGGTTGTCTTGAGGACATAAAAAATTGAATGACTCTAAACTTTTTGCTTTTAAATCAAGACAAGACGGAAGTTCTCATCTTTGGACCAGAAATCCAGAAAAGGAAACTGCTTAGCCAATCAAATGACCTGAATGGCATTACATTAATCTCCGAGAACAAAGTAAGGAACCTTGGTGTTATCTTTGACCAGGACATGCCATTCAAATCCAAGGTTTCACAAGTTTGTAGGATTTCCTTTTTCCACCTTCGGAATATTGCTAAGATTAGAAGCATCCTTTCCAGGAGTGATGCTGAAAAACTAGTTCATGCATTTATTACATCAAGACTGGATTACTGTAATCCATTACTCTCAGGAAGTCCACAGAATGTAGTTAAAAGTCTTCAGCTTGTCCAAAATGCTGCAGCTAGAGTTCTGATGAGAATTAAAAAGAGAGATCATATCTCTCCTGTCTTAGCTTCCCTACATTGGCTACCTGTTAAATTCAGAATAGATTCTTAGAGTGTGGTTTAAGATAGTTACTTTTGTTTTTAAGCCTCTGCAGGGTTGTGCTCCATGCTATCTGTTTGAGGTCCTTACAGCAAGAATTACTAGTCGTTCCACGGGTGACCTGTTTAATTCAATCCAATTCAAGTTTATTTATAAAGCGCCAAATCACGACAAGAGTCGTCTCAAGGCACTTCACATAATAAACATTCCAATTCAGGTCAGTTCATTAAGCCAATCAGAAATAATGTTTCCTATATAAGGAACCCAGCAAATTGCATCAAGTCACTGACTAGTGTCAGTGACTATACAGCAATCCTCGTACTAAGCAAGCATAAAGCGACTGTGGAGAGGAAAACTCCCTTTTAACAGGAAGAAACCTCCAGAGAATCCTGGCTCAGTATAAGCAGCCATCCTCCACGACTCACTGGGGATGGAGAAGACACACACACACACGCACGCACGCACGCACGCACGCACACACACACACACACACACACACACAGAGACAGACAGACAGACAGACAGACAGACAGACAGACAGACAGACACACACACACGCACGCACGCACGCACACGCACACACACACACACACACACACACACAAAGACAAGTAATGTGTCTATAGTTATATTGTGATGTCTTAGTAAATATTGTATTTGGTGAAAGATAAACTTTATTGTATTTATCCTAGTGGATCTATAATTAAATATTAACTAGAGGAGGCAGGGCTCCTCTAAGCTGTGGAACGACCTTCCACTCGCGGCCAGACAGGCACCCTCACGGCGTGAGCTAGCCTTATTTAGAAATATTTTAGCTAATTTTTTATCCAGTTTGCTTTTGTTTATTTTAGCTTGTTCCTACACCAACATTCTTTGCTTTTATTTGTCTCTGTGTAATTTTGGTAGGCCCTGGCATGGGTCAGGGACGTTTTAACGTCCTTTGTGTGTTTTTTATTTGACCAAAATCCATGTTGCTACACGATGAACATACAGATTGCCATTTCCAGATCTAACCGTGCACCAGAATGCGTGTGCTGTTTGCTCTGGGGCTCCCGGTGTCGCTGCTGC